ACTCTGAATAAGTTCACTACAACTTCTGGGTCTCTATATAGGTATATGAAGACTAACAACATGGTAGGGTAATTCTGCAATTTATGAATTAGCGCCAAAACAGTGCCTATTTTGCATATGCGCGCATGCACGCACGTACGTATAAACTGCATAATAGGGATGAAATTTAGCAAGAAATTTAGCACACTTTGTAACCGAGTGAGCGATCAGTGCCGCAATGCATGACGCGACGATTTTAAGTCTACCTATATTCTGACATTTGCGTACAGATATTGAAAATTTTAACTGTGAACTTACGCTATAAGTTAAAAACTTCAAATTGGTTAATAGAAAAATGATTTCAATTAAGCCATTGAATCCCCAGTCACTTAGAAGCGCGTCGGCAGCCCGTTTTGTCACAAGCACATATCAGAGAGAAGCAAGCGTCACCCACCTTCTAAATTTTCTTAAATGGAACTCTCTCCAAGACAGACGCGAAGCTCACCGTCTAAGCTGTTTCCACAAAATGTTACATGGCCAGCTGGACATAGATGCCCAAACCCACATTAAACCTAAACCAAATCGTAGCAGACGCGGGCACTCAAGTCAGTTCGAAATACCATTAACCGGATTAGATGTATAAAAAACTCATTTTTTTCCACGCAAAACCAGAGCATGGAATAATCTTGATTCGATATTAGTATCCCTGACTGACTCAGCAAAGTTTAAAGTAGCACTCCTTCCGAAATAAGTCCACCCTCTGCCACCACGACCTCCAGTTTAAATTCCACTAGGAATCTTTTGGAGGAACAACAACCAAGTACCAAGTCGGTAGCTTGGTCGGCCATGATGTGAAATAAAGCTTTCAGCCAACTGGCACAAGACACATGACGTCATATGTAAACAACACTGTCTAAAGGCTCTTGTATAGTAAATATAGCAGTCATTAAATTTTAAACTGCGAATGTTTAACAAAATTACTTTCGTTTCGAGCAACATTGTTTACAATTTCAGAACAACTGTAAGTGAACATCACTTTTTTAAGCAGCGTTTTTACTGTGTAGACCAATTTATCTTAGGCCTACGGCGTCCTGGACAAATTTAATCTAGGCATAACATATTATGTGACCGCTACCGTCGGCATCATAGTCTGTTACGCAAGCTACATGAAAGTTGTGATTTCGAATCGAGGTGGATTGTGAAAGTTAAAAGTATCCTAGACAAGAGTGGAATTTCAAACTTGTGGGTTGAAGATACCCTCTTGAACTTAGGTTGGGTTAAGTTATCTTTGGACCTTAGATTAAATGATATTGATTGGCAAAATTGGCATAATGAAGTTTTTAAGAAATCGTGTATGCTTTAATTATAGGCTCGTTAAACAGGAAGGTGGTTTAGAGAGCTATTTGTTGAAATTTGACGTAGGTGCATGATAGAATATCCCTTTGTAAGTTTCGTTGTGGTAATGATAAGCTGCCGGTTAAGTTACCAAATGTCGTTATTTGTCTGATCAACCTCTTGAGTTCATTATGTTCTGGTGTGCCCAGCATTCAATGATTTTCGTAAGCAGTGTGTAAAGAAATATTATAACAGTAGACCTAACGTTATCAAATTTCATCAGTTATTCAATTCAAATTCTGTTAAGCAGTTAAAGAACCTTTCCACAGTTTGTAAGATCATTATGTCTAAGTTTGGATAATTTTTGTTGTCCTTTTTAATACGTTAGACTTTTGGTTTAATGTGTGTTGTCGTTTTTAGTATCATAGTGTACATACATATATATAGTAGTATTTGTACTGCTTAGGGGCGGCCGAGCGACTTCCAAAGGGGGGGGGGGTGGGGGACACCAAGAAAAAGGGGCACTTTCTGGAAAAAGGGGCACCTACAAAGGGAGATCTCAAAGCGAAAATATACAATTTTTAGACATTGGTATATACCCCTACATTGTGATTACATTATCAGGGATGATTTCAATATTTGTTTCACTGTATACACCATACAAGATATTGCTTAAGCATCATGCTTCGCAGTTGGGAGTAATGGTCTGAAAAAAATATTTGCGAGTGAGCGGAGCGAGCGAGAAATTTTTTAAAGATTTATAATGTCGTAGTGCGAAAAATTACATCTTATAAAGAGGAAAAAACCCAATCCTGATGGGGTTAAAAGCACATTCTCATAACGGAAGACTGAAAAGAACTTTGATAAGTAACATATTATCTATAGATCCTTGCGAGCCTAGCGAGCGAGCTTTGGGGGAAATTGCTCGTAGTCGCTTGAAATTAGGTGCGCGTTTAATGATGAGAGGAAAAGGGGACACTTATCAGAAAAGAAAAGGAGCATGTGTCAAAGTACAGAGAGTAATTATCAGAGGTGAAAATGAGGCACTTTTTACAACCTCAAAAAAAAAAGGACTCACCAGGGATTAAAAAAGTCAGTCATGAGAATAGGAAATGGGTATTTATAAGAGGTGAAAAGGGGCATTTATGAAAAGGGGATAGGTCCCTTATTAGAAAGAAAAGGGGCACGTATCATTGTTAAAAGGGAAATTATCAGAGGTGAAAAGAGGCACTAATCGCACCTGAAAAGGGCAATGACCAGATATGAAAGGGGGCACTTTTGTGAATGAAAAAGAGGCACTTATAATAAAGGAAAATGTGCATTAGTTGAAAGAAAATGGGCACCGATCAGATTTTAAAGGGTCCTTTATCGGAGGTAAAGGGGGTACTTATCTGAAGTGAAAAGGAGTAACTTCTCGTACCTGAAAAGGGTCATTTACCAGAGAAGGGGCATTTTTGAGAAAGGGATGGGGTTCTTTTTTAATGGGGCACTTATCACTGGGAAAAGGGGCACTTATTAGAAAGGAAAAGGGGCACATGTGAAAATATAAGGTGCGCTTATCCGAGTTAAAATGGGGGTAGTTATTTAAAGGGGAAGGGACATTTCTTACAAAGGAAAATGGGCACTTGTCGAAGTAAAAGGGGCACGTGTCCAAATAAAAGGGGCACATATCAGAGTTGAAAAGGGGAAAGGGCACTTTTACAAATCAATAGGGGCACTTTTCAAAGTAAAAGGGGCACTATTCTTATGTAAAAAGGGGCTCTTTTCGGGTGCTTGAAAAAGTGGGGGTACTGTGGGGGCACTGCGCGCCCCTGCCCCCCCCCCCCGGGAGGGCCGCCTCTGGCATTGCTAGTTGAGATATAGGGTATTATGTATTTCTTAACGTATATCTTAAAGTTTGGCATCATTTGTAGTTCGCTGCCAAAGATTTTCTTGTGTTTTAAAGATTTTCTGTGTGTTAAAACAACAAAAATCATTGTTGAACATTATATTATATAGCGCACGTATCCACCTTGCAAGGTGCTCAAGGCGCTCCAACATTACCCGGCTATGCTAGGCTGCCGATTTCGGCGCTCACAGCATTCAAGGAAATCCTTCCTACCGGTACCCTTTTAAGACCTGGGTGAAGAGTGGCAAGTGTAGATTAATGTCTTGCCAAAGGACATTGGTGCCGCTGTATTTCTTCCATGCCCCAGAAGGGGCAGTTAAAGGTACTATGTCCCTTTTGCAGCCAACCTCAAATTCTGTAGAACTTTGCAGCAATTATGAATATGTAATGTATTTCCTATCTGTGAAATATATACGTTAGCAGTGTCCTCATATTCAAATTATGCAAGGAAACCCGTTTACTTGCTAGACTTCACTGTTAGACACTATTGAGTGACTGACTGGCTTTTTTTTTTCTTTGGTAATAACATACATGAAAAGAGTTGTAAAGGGTACATGAGCATTTGTCTACATCAATAACCCACTTCTTGTGATGGCCAAAATTAAACTGATTGAATCTTTTCGCAGCATAAAACGTATGACCATTCGGTACAATTGTCTGAAAATCAAGACTATTACTTTTGGGCTCTAAAGCCCTAAAGTCGATTTGTCAACTAATAGTCGTTATTTTCCCACTTGAAGACATTTCCAAGCCCCACCTTTTTAGGGAAGTTCTAAATTAGTATTATCTTTCAAATGCAGTTGGAATTTAACTTTTTCATTTTTTTGGCCTGCAAATGGGACATAGTACCTTTAACCCTTACTGTACTGGGCTATTTTGAGCACCTCCTGACTGGGGGGGGGGGGGGGCCTGGGAGGCCCCCCCCCCCCATGATCTCTGCCGTCGGATGTCCGATGAACACGAAAATTTGCATGTTTGTAGATATTTACGTAACGAACAAGATGGTGTAATTAGTTTTTTGCGAATATGCAAATTTTTGTCGTTATAGCCTAATTAATTATGCAAAATGCTAATTTTATGCATTTTACAGAAAATGTGTCAAACTTCACTTTTTGAACGTTGAAACTCATTATATCATCATATGAAACTTCTTTTCTAACACAAAATATTTATTTGGATGTAATTAATAATGATAATTTATGCAAATTTGATGCGATTTTCAAATATTTATTTTCTTATGTATTTTATTGTTTTTTTATTTCTTATTATATCTATTGTTTTTATTTCTTATGTATTCTTTTGTTCTGGAATACATCAAGTTACTTTGAGAAACATATAAAAGCAATTTGATATCAATTCATATTACCCACTTAGGAAGGAATACATCTAAACCTGTATTCACATTTCTGCTTGTACATGAATATATGCAATTATAGCATATTTTTGATGACATGCGCATACTAATTGTTATGTAACACCTCACAGGTATATCCGATTGCGACGAAAATGGTATCAAAACGTGCGTAAGACTTGAGGGAAAAAAGTCATGAAACGACAATTCAAAATTTCAAGCGGTTGCGGCGCAATCTCCGAAAATGTCGAGGGGGGGGGCCTCCCAGGCCCCCCCCCCCAGTACAGTAAGGGTTAAAGAAATAACAAAAATCATTGTCAATCATTGTCATTGTCAATTTTCGATTGTCCAGACAATAATGTACGGGGATTCCCCACTCGATGAAACGAGCCACAGCTAGCTAACTTCCTCATAAGCAAGTATAGTATAATAGCTTCGGCGCAGCATACACAATTGTATAAGCTTTTAGTGACAGAGCTCATATTTTCATTGCAACTGTGGAGCGTTGAGTAGAAAGCAATATGGCAGAGAGTGACGAATTACCTGGTCGCGTTGTGCGAATCGACAGAAATTTTGCGAATATTTCGGTATCAGGTCGGGCCGGTAATGCTCGGCTCGATAGGTCGGTTGCTCGCCGTATCACGGGTTCGTACATTGATGATGTCCGTGACATTCTGGAAATGAATGCTCAGGTCAAGGTTCGAATTGTTCCAATGTCTGAGGAGGCCCTGTCAAAGTTTCCTCAACGAATTCGGATGACGGTGAGGAGAAATTCTCAATGGGAAGTGAAGTTTTTCAGGAGAGACATCGAACCAGCTGCAGCGCCTCAGGTAAGTCAGTTCAACGTTCCAGAGAAAACCCTGGAGAAACAACCTCCTAGCACTACAGGGAAGACTATACAGACTGCTGCTGCATCTGCTACTGGGGCATCGGCTACTGGCTCATCGGCTACTGGCGCATCGGCTACTGGCGCATCGGCTACTGGGGCATCGGCTACTGGGGCATCGGCTACTGGGGCATCGGCTACTGGCTCATCTGCTACTGGCTCATCGGCTACTGGCTCATCGGCTACTGGGGCATCGGCTACTGGCGCATCGGCTACTGGCGCATCGGCTACTGGCGCATCGGCTACTGGCTCATCGGCTTCTAGCTCATCGGCTGCTGCTGGTTCTGCTACTGGCGGTCCTGTTGATTTCAAAGGTAACTGATAATTTTTGTTTACTGTTTTTACAATATGAATACATTTCTTTATACAAGGCCCCGTGGTTATTTTCTATATCTATATTTAGTTTATAAGACGTAATATCATGCTGATTTATCTCTCATAAGCTGTATACTTTTATGTTTTCCCCACGTAGTCAGTAGGACGGCATTTCTTATCAGAGATAGAATTGGTTGATATTTTTTGCCTGCTTTCTAAAAAATGATTTCCAATCAAACCAACGAAATTAAGACGAAGACATTTGTAAAATTATTATTATAGGATTTCTCATTTGCTTGTATCAACATTCACAATTCGTGATAAAAACAGACTATTTTAAACTGTTGCCAATAAAGGTATATATGTTTTTTCTTACCACTCTTCGTGAAGCGATTGCGACAATATGATTTATTCTTGATAGATATGGTTGATACCTTTTCCGAACTTTATAGATCAATATCTATAACTCTTGACCAGTCAGAACATCAATCGGAAATCTTAGGCCATCTTTTTGTTCTGCTTTTAACAAGTCCTCTTCCCATAGTCATTCTTGTTCCCTTTATAATAACATAACATTGAGTCCCTTCATCATCATCATCATCTTCATCATAATCATCATCATCATCATCATCGTCATCTTCATCATCATATTCATATTCCTCATCTTCATCATCATCATCTTCATCATCATCATCATCGTCATCATCTTCATCATCTTCATCATCATCATCATCTTCATCATAATCATCATCATCATCATCGTCATCTTCATCATCATATTCATCATAATCATCATCATCATCATCGTCATCTTCATCATCATATTCATATTCCTCATCTTCATCATCATCATCTTCATCATCATCATCATCGTCATCATCTTCATCTTCATCATCATCTTCATCAATATCAACATCTTAACCATCATCATCTTTATCATCATCACTATTTATACCGTCATAGTATTATAATATTACTACTACTACTTCTATACTCTTATCATTAGTGTTCATATAAAATTTCTACTTTCATTCCTTGTAGATGTGCTCAGTCAAACCGAAATCATCGATTCTGTGGGGGCCTGTAATCGAGTTCTTGATCCGATCCTTGACCAGTCTAGAAGAGAGACTGTGGTTATCGGACTCGATTGTCAAGGTGTCAACTTAGGTAAGTGAATTGATGCAGGTCACGAATCAGTGATATTCTGAAGTTAAAGAGAAGAGACATGGGCACAAGTTGCTCGTTGCACAGATGCGTCATTTTATTGAAGTAGAACTGCGTCAGCAACTGGCTTAGTCTTTGACGAGCCATGTAAAAGTGACACAGTAAAGAAGTTAATGCTAAATGATCGCCATCATTGCTTTAAGTAATACGGTTAAAGGGAAAACCGACCTTAAAGCAAATCTTGAGCTCTGGTATTTTGTATTTTTGTATTTATTAACATTTATTTCCTTCTCAACAGTACAATATGAAACACAATGTACAGTGTATATATACATGATATATGTAACAATTATTTCAACATAGAGTATACAGTAAATAATTCAGATACGGAATGAGGCGAAAACCCGGAAAGCATAGCTTGAGTTGGGAACGCCCATAATAAATTAACACAGTTACCGAGAGCCGAGAGAACATTATAGATATTATTATGAAAATTACATTTTATATAACAGAAAGTTGATAGGAAAGAACAAAAATAGTAAATGGAATAGAGAGAAGAAAAAAAATGAGGAGAGAATTAAGTATAGGAAGGCATGTTCACTTATACAGAGAAAATTACTTCAATTGGGCTGTGCATGTGTCTGTGATTACATCATACAAATAACGAAGTACTACAATTTTAAAATAGACAGCGGGTACATTATCATTACAAACAAGCAAAATCATTAAACAGACAAACAGCTTTATCCGACAGCATTGTCCTGGGAATATACATATGGTACTAGCGACAGCTGAGGCATGTACGTAAGTGATCAAAATACAAACATGTCATTGAATTCCACAAGAGGTCATTTCACACATAAATACAAGAGAGGTATCAATATCGAGCAATTAAATACTATTTTGTCTTACGGGAAAAAGTCTGTAAGGAAAGCGATTTTTGTAGAATAGATGGTAAGATGTTCCAAAATTTTGGTCCAGAGTATCGAATGTCAAATTGAAATCTTCGGGTTCTATGTTTAGGGAGATGAATGTTGGCAGCGCTTCTCGTATTATACGTATGGGTTTCCGAGTTGCATTGAAAATTGATAAAATCACTAAATTGTGATGAAAAGATGTTATTCATGCTTTTATACATGAAAATACCCTGTTGGTGCAAGTTGATATCACTGAATCTCAAGAAAACGATTTGTTTAAATATGGGACCAGTAGGGGAACGATAGTGCATTCCGGATATTATACGAATAATCTTCTTCTGCAATAGTGTAAGCTTTTGTATTTTGTACTTGCAGGAATTTGCCCAAACAAGATTATAGTGAGAAAAATATGGAAGTATAAGAGCACAATATAACATACGTAGAATGTGATTGGGCAAGAGATGTTTGAGTCTGGATATAATGCCAGTGTTTTTGGACACCTTACTTTCAACTTCGTGAATATGGTATTTCCAAGACAAGGAACTATCTAAATAAACGCCAAGAAATTTGACTTTATCTACCCTTGGCAATATGACATTATCAAGAACAATATTGAAATCATTTAAATCTGCATTCTTTCCATTGTGAAAAATCATATAATTACATTTCTTTACATTTACAGATAATTTATTAGACTTGAACCATTCACATATATATGCAAGACCTGCATTTACTGTATCCATAAGAGACTTCAAGTTTGAATCTCTGTGAAATATGTTTGTGTCGTCTGCATACAGTATAAAAGACAATTCATTAGCAGATTTATAAATATCATTCACATATAATATAAATAACAAAGGCCGAAGCAGGCTACCCTGTGGAATTCATTAGCAGATTTATAAACACCATTCACATATAATATAAATAACAATGGCCCAAGCAAGCTACCCAGTGGAATTCCGCATGTTATTGTCCTAAACTCCGAAATAGAAGATTGATATTTGGTACATTGTAATCGATTGTTAAGATAGCTGGTGAACCATTTAAGAGCTACACCACGTATTCCATAACGATACCGCCCCCCCCCCCCCCACTCCGAGAACGGACGGACCCCATGCGTGTTGCCAAAATGTCCTTTTCGTAACAAAAGAAAAAGGTCGAGCCGTATTGACTTTACACACCGGACTTTTGCTGAAAAGGGGGCGGGGGGGTCGGTTGGAACACGCATATGCGTACCCTAAATAACACTGAGTGGGGGCCGGGTAACGATATAGTTTAGATAGTAAAATATTGTGATTAATTGTGTCAAATGCCTTAGATAGATCTATACAAAAATCCAATTGCAAATTCATTTGCCTCAAAGGCGTCTATGACTTTACTAGAAAGACTGGTAAGAGCCATACATGTTGAATAATCCCTACGGAAACCATATTGATGTTTATTGAGACTAGAATGTTTGTCAAGAAATTCAATAGTTCTTTTATAAACAATGCGCTCGAATAATTTAGAGAAGACTGACAGTACAGAAATGGGCCTATAGATTGTAAATTCACGCTTGTCACCAGATTTAAACACTGGTGTTACTTTAGCATTCTGTAGCTCATCTGGAAAAATTCCGTTTAATAATGAAAGGTTGAATATATGGCATAGGGGTCTACAGATGTACATAATGACCTGTTTAATGACTCTTGGACTATATTCGTCCAAACCTGCAGCTTTATTGTTTCCAAAAGTACTAACAATGTTACAAATTTCGTTTTCCCTAATAGGATATAAATACAAAGAGTCAACAGGTGGATCATTCATATACTGTAAATAATTCGTTTGGGTACCTGGGATTTTATTTGCTAAAGATGGACCAATGCTTGTAAAGAAGTCGTTAAAGGAGTTCAAAATAATGTCCGGTTCTGTAGCGATGTCCCCGTTATAATTAAATACAGAATTCTCAGCTGGCTTACTTTTGTTAAGTAGTGAATTGATCGTTTGCCACGTACGATTTACATTAGATTTATTAAGTAAAAATTTGTCATGGAAATACTGAGATTTTGCTTTACGAATTAATTCTGTGAGTAGGTTACGATAGTTTTTATACACATAAGCATTTTAGTCTGATGGGTTACGTAAATATGGCAGATGACAGTACCGTGACCGCCGCCGATAGCACATTGATCTTGATCGATCGCATATATATGACGTCATCCATGGTATAGTGCCATGGTATAGTTTGCACTATACCATGGATGACGTCACGGTTTCATCATAGCAATGTTATGTTTGGTCACATGATGCTACGTTGACCAATCACTGAACAGGATTTCATTGATCAAAAATATAATACAAAATATATAACAAGACACATACCTACCTCCAGCATAATACATTTATGAACCTTTGTCATTTTGAAGTTCATATCTCGATATTTTGTGTGCAGGGAAAGAGGAGGGATGCCTGACTCTTGTTCAGATCTCCACGTGGGACAAAAAAGCATTCCTCTTTGATGCCTTCAAGAACCCTCAGCTTCTCAAAGGAAACTCTAGTCTCAAGAAGATACTAGAACATGACAGCATCCTGAAGGTAGACTTGTGTGATTATAATAATAACAACTTGATTGTAATGGAATGATTTATTACTTTGAATTTAGAGAAAATAGCGGCACGGAGCAATGCAAAAATAGTCTTTAAAAAAGAAGGCTATTTGCCTCAGTAGTAAAACCTAATGGTTTTATTTATGTATTTCGTTTTATATATACGTCCCATTTCACTCTTTCCTTTAGAGACTTTATATCCTCATACAATGCAAAGTCTGTAAAAGATAGAAAATTATCATATTCTGCATGGTTTACACGGAAATCATGGGTTACGTAATATCGAACATCAATTTTAAAAAATCTACCTGGTTTATAGATAGAATAGTGGATATTGAATAGTGGTAATGCTGTTTGCTAATTGCTTTTGTGATAATTAGCCTAAAATTTACTAAACCCTTATCATCACAATTGATGTTCCAGGGGCGGATCTACGGGGGGGGGGGGGGGGTTAAAAAAAAGCGTCTCCATTGTGTTAGTAAAAAGATGCCAGGAAAACATCACTTACGGGGGTTCAAAGTAGCGCATCGTCATTGGGTCAAATCCCACTTAGCAAATAGCTAGATCCGGCCCTATGTTCCCTATATGAAACATAATTTGTATTATTTATTTCAGGTGATTCATTTTTGTAAAAGTGACACATACTCCCTGCATCATGGGTTTGGTGTAACACTCAGGAATGTGTTTGATACTTCGGTAAGCTAACAGTAACATCACTATTTTCTCCAATTAAACTAATTGCATTCATCCTTGATTTTATAATGTATTGTATACATTCGGTCGTTCACGGTCGTTCAAATGAATAAATGATGAATTTTATTTGATTATAGATATGATCTAAATTTATGTTATGTGCCAAATCCACTTTGCAGCTTATTGTTATCAAATTTTGAAACTTTAAAAAGTCAATGTGATGTGACAGTATAGCAAATCAAGAAGTGGTAAAAACATATGTATTTGTTATATTTCCGTCAAGATTGCGATAAACACACTAACGGAGGAAGTGAACATGATTACCCACTCCAACTTCGTGACTTTTTGTAAGCTTGTTGGAGTGGGCGGGTATGGCAGAAATCGTGACTTTTGGAACAAGATGAGTGAGACGCCAGATTTCTGGAAGATTCGACCATTACCAGAAGAGATGATTTACTACGCTGCATCTGATGTATTGTGTTTGGTTCCGCGCGGCTACACGAAATTAGAGGGGTATGTTTTAACCAAATTTAGGCTCATTTGGCAAGAAAATTGGGACTTCTCATTTGTGACGAACACATGATTGTGGATTAATAGACATGGCATGTTTTAATCTTTCTTGAAATATACATTGGTTAATATGTCCATGACGACGTGTGTTGATTTTCATTTCTAAACTCGACTTTTACCACTCGTTTATCACTCTCTTTTACATTGATGTATTCATTATTTCTATTACATTGCTGCATAACATAGAGCTACAAAAAACGAACATTTGTCTTTTGAAAAAGATGCACATAACAGGAGTAGGACAGTAAATAACATGTTTTCATCATTTGAAACAACTAGCTCTTTGACGTGTTCAGTACAACAACTATCGCTGAAGGGAAAATGTGTTCTTAGTGGGTAAATATCTCATGTGGTAACACTGGTAGATTTCTCACATAGGAGTATTTTCATAAGATCACTGTGCGAGAGCTATTAGTAATATCAGACACACATTTAAATGATCTATTTATATATATTTTTAAAGCAAATTAAACATTGGTCACTAAGAAAAATGTTTCTGTATTTGAATTGTATAGTTATTGCAAACTGCTGACACCGCTTCAGCGAGCCCTGATAACATCGTCTTGCAAAGACGACGTGGAAAACATCCAACTAGGCAACGAACAGATGACATCAGAATCCAGACTCACCTGTTTGAAACGCCAACCACCGTTCATGATTAACATCGAAGACAGCGACGACAGCTACAGGTACTACGGGGACGATGATCCTTTCCCAGCCTACAACAGCGACGATGATTATTTCGGAGCCTACGACAGCGATTGGTGATTACTATTAAATCTTATCACACCCGAAAACGATTTATTTCATATATTCATTTTATTACCATATCAATTATAAATGGCCTCTTTAAAGAGATGTGTTTCATCGCATGATTAGCTTGTTATGATAGCAGATTGAACTCATTACCAATTAGGAGGAAACAGGGATAGCTTCACAATCACTGCAGTGTCATGAAAATGATTATGGTGATGGTGTTAATGATGGAGATTCACAGCATATAAATAGTGCCCCATTTTTCTTTAAACCGGCACTTACATTTCCTGAAATAGCTGTTTGAACTTTTTCGAAGGTACCAAGTGTGGGTAATTTTTTACTAATGCCCGAACAAAGCCATGTGTATTATTTGTTTTTTTAAATAATGACGTGGATCCTTGTCATTTGATAAATCAACCTCATCTCAAAGTTCATACATTAATACTATGTCTACATCTATGATCTAGATAAATTTAGATCTAACGTTAGTAGATCTAACTTTAGTAGACTAGATCTAGATCTACTATACTACCAGCACTACTTAATTGTTACTAGGCCTAGTTAGTGTTAGGTCTATAGTAGTAGTACTACTGTTTTATTCATGTTGTGATGTGTTTGATGTACTATGTTCTATTATGTAATAGAAAAGGTCAGATTATATCATGCGTTATGCCCCGGCGGTGCAGCCGGGCCGACTACGGAGCGGCGGGGGAGAGAGGGGCTAGGCCTCTCTCTTTCCATTTATAGTGTCGGTCTGGTAGTCGTATCGTCTGTGCGGGCGGGGTATACAGAAGTATCATGCTATGTTTTTTAATGTTAAACTGAAATGTGAAACCACAAGATTGTATAGTGTGAAACAATATGATTATTCATTATTTTTGTGCAAAACGATACGCATATTTTGTAAATTATTATGTTTTCTGACCAATATAACTTACTTTTATCATCAGGATCATCCATCATACGCGGAAGAGCACTTTTGTTTTTGTCCAGTTTTTGAGGACAAAATTCGCAACTACTCAGCCAGCCGCTGAATAAGCGGGGGGGGGGGGGGTTATAGCACTTTAAACAAAAATTGGCCCCGGAAATTTAAAATTACATCGTCAGATAATTCGTTCAGTGACTTTGGGGGGGGGGGGAAGAAACACTTTTTTTGGGGGGCCTCCGTCAGCACAATTTTTTTTTTTACAATTACAACAATTTGAGGGAGGGTTTGACCCCCCCCCCCCCCCCCCCCCCCCCTCTGCGTACGCGCCTGCATGGTTCGAAATTACCAGGCCCGATTCATTAATGCTATTTACTGTTTCCTTTTTTTCTTTCATGTTTTAGTTTTAAAAGTTTTATATATATATTGTTATATGTTTACTATTGGATAGTAAGTTTGAAGTTCATTTTACAATTTTAAATTATGCCAATGTACATGACAATAAGCATCTGTGGCAGTCGCAGTAATACATTTTGGCTGAATAATTGTCAGTTATACTTTTAAGTTTTGTAAATACTTATTAGTCAAACAATGAATAACTCTACTGAATAATGTATATTTGCTGGGTCTTTAGTAGTACAATTTTTAAAATAAATTACATCTGTATGATTGTAAAGCAGGGTTCCCACTTAGCCGAGTTGGAGCCTCGAGTTGTGGCGAGCTGGCGCGAGCTTATGGCAAGCCGTTTTATCATTGAAACATATTTCTTGATATCAAGAATTGATAAAACGGCTTGTCATAAGCTCGCGCCCGCTCGCCACAACTCGAGGCTCCAACTCGGCTAAGTGGGAGCCTTGCTTAACCAGATAATGTTTAGTCTCAATGATAATTGTATGTACTGTACATGTAGATTTTGATAAAATGAGAGAATCTCTCCTCAAGACTTATATAATACGCAAAAAAAGATTGGATCTAATTCTGTGTGTCATTTTTCTTAGTATGTTTAGGCGTCGTATCAATAACATATCGTATAGTGCATATATTTTATTCGTATTCTTATCTCTCTATCACTCTATGTGACACTGTGGTAGTTGTTGATGTCATCGTTTGACTCAATTAAATATGTGCATTTCAAAATGTTATGAAAGCTCATATTTACGTACCTATCAGTTTTTTTTTTTAATTTCTTAATGCATCTTTGAAGAGGAGAAAGATTGAGTAGAAAAGGTATCTTTGATGGTACATAGATGTATTTAGTCATAGTTAATTATATATATACAGCCAAACGTTATGTTTAAACTGTCATTTCTCTATGTAATATTACGCATGTAAAGGTAAGACAAGCAAATTTCCATTTGTCATTTATTAGCATTACAAACAATAGATTGGATGATAGTCGGAACTATAGCGCAAGCAAATAAATTCATATCTTGTCTTTATTCATTTTGTAGCAGTTTGTAAGAAATGGCTTAGATATAAAGGTATCATCGGGAATAGTTGGGATTAATAATTATGAGTATTTGGATTTACCTGCAGAGATAATACAATATGTTTTAAAAAAAGTTTTATCATGATAAGCCTATGTTGAAATGCTTATTCATTTCGTATCCTTTTTATTGAAAAAGTAGGTATAGGCTTATATTGCATCCACAGGTTATAATGACTGTTTGGTATGAATTGAATCAATTAATTACAATGAAAGATAAATTATAGCGATTCCCATTTCCTTATATAGGGACTTTCCGCACGGCGACGCAAGTGCAGACTACGGGGTATTTAAATGGGCTCGCCACCCCGTACTAGCTCGACTGCCGACGTTAATACAGCTGAATATCGTCGTAGGTTTGGATAATAATTTTTTTACAAGTTTTAAATCACACTATTCCTGAGACACTGGGCAAAGACAATTGGAATTAAATCGTTAATTATAATATATTGTAAATATTCACCTCAAGGACCGGAAGCTTTGACATTTATTTGAGAATTCCATTCTCAATGATCACGATAGTGTTGGTTCGGTCGAAGCGAGTTAAAAGAGAAGTCCACCCTGAAATAAATTAGTTTTCATAGAATCATAAAACCTAGAAAAACTTATCATTACAGGTTTAGAGAAGCGCAACTCAAACAATGCCAGAACAGTCTATATCCTCGATCAAGTATAATATCCATCAACTCACTTAGTATATATTTTTTTATTGAATCATGACATAGAGTTCGTAAAGGGAATAATACTTTCTCATGTCATTGTGGTCATTAGGTTTATGATGCCTGAAGTAACGTGATGCAAACGTCTACGAAATGTACATGAATATTAAAATAAAGTATATGTTATATATTCATTATTGTTCCATTCTTTTTAGTTGAAAATGATCGATTAAAAGGGACTGCGTTCATAATAATGGCGATCATAATAGTTACAATGTAAAGCACCATTAACGCAGCGTTTAATGACGCTGTATAAATGTGACTGCTTTCTTTAATCATTGTATCATCTAAGAATGTTTGTTTTATCAACCAGGGCCAGGGGGCGTTTCACAAAACTTGTCATCAGTGACAAATAACAGACTTTGTAATAAGCTACTGAAATCCTTGCTTCTGATCGGTTGTCAGCAGATTTGTCACTGATTTTTATCATTTGTCATTGAAAAAGGGCTTTGTGAAACGGGTCCCAGATCTAGGGTCGGGCGTGGGAGGCACACGCACCCCCTCTTTCCTTCCAAAAAGTAAGGATATAGAGATAGAGGGAGAGAGACTAAAACAGAAAAGAAAAAAAGGGAGAGACACGATTCATAGTCAGATCGTAACCTGATTAGGTGCACATTCTGTTGGTCGACGTGAGTTTACTACGTCTTATTTCTTGTCTCTGATTAGTCAGTGGTTAATGCTGTTACGACTTACGAATCCCATCCCATGGACTCAAAGGGGAAATAATATTGTTGTGGTCAAGGAGGAAAACACTAACTTATTGTCCTAAGCGACATCTTTTCAAAATTTCACAGTTTTTTTGCAGAACAAATATCTCCCGTTTCATATTTTAAAAAAGATGCATTTAATTTATATTGCTCGAGAAAAAAAAAATGGTCCCAACACGTAGTTTCATATGCAAATGAAATGAGGGCTTCCCCTTTAACTGACGCATGCCTCCCCCTCCCCCCCCCCCCCCCCCCCCCGTTTTTTGGAAATTTATGTTAAAACTTCGCCAATGCTGAAGTCATTTTGATTGATTTTTCGGAGAATATGCAGGAAAAAAGCTAAAAAATATTCATATAAATGTTCAGTTTTCGCATTCAGAATTTCACCTCAGAATTGGCCATAGAGCAGGTAACTCGCAATTTCATACACTTTACGCCCCCCCCCCCCCCCCTTGGAAAATCCTGGCTCTGCCATTATTTTATAGAACTCACTGGAATTTTGCAGGTGGTATTCCCCAGTAATTGGCTCTTGTACATCTTATGAACATGGACTTTGTCTTGCGAGCTCGGTTAGAATTCTGTTTGTCTACATGCATGATTAACCTTTCAGATTTGTATCAAATACACGCGGCATGAATAAAACGTCACGCTCCCGTGTTTGGTTTTGAGTTATTTATAGTTAGTTTGTATAGGTTGTTCGTTTTTTATCAAATTGGATGAATGATTCTCATTTCATATTGAACGGATATAACTATATTGATAACGAATAGGATGGGAGGTAACTGATAAATACATCATATACATTTTAGTACATCACATTATATGCTAATTGAAAGAAATGACAAAGATCAGGATAAACAGAAACATATGAAATATTTCTTTAAAACAAAACAACAACATTGTAATGGTTGTAGATATCCTGCGATTAAACCGCATGGTCTGATTGATTAAAGAAAACAAGGTTGACTCTTTCTCTCCGAGGTAAGGGGGTAGAGGAATATTGCTATTCCCTATGTTGCAACTACTGGAGCAGGGGTTGCGACAGAACACAGTACTTTCTGAGATTGCTTACATCCACCGAGTAGCCTACTTTTTCGGTCTTTAAATCACTCATTGAACTTTGTTGATTTCGATGACGATTCCATGGTTTTCAACATAATATGATAATATGAACAATTTTTATCATGTTTAGTTGCATTTGAGTTCCGACGTCTCAGAAAGCATGATTTACATCGAACACAAATAATACTTGACCATTATATTGATCACTGATACAAAACAAGAACATAGAGTCTGAAAGGGTAGACTATTAATTCTCTCACGCGTCACTTCCGAGCAATTATGCATGGGGATTCCCCACTCGATGAAACCATGAAGCCACAGCTACAGCTAGCTGAGCTACGGTACAGATATGCATACACAATAGTATAAGCTACTAGTGACAGAGCACATATTTTCATTACAACTGTGGAACGTTGAGTAGAGAGCAATATGGCAGAGAATGACGAATTGTCTGGTCGCGTTGTGCGAATCGACAGAAATTTTGCGAATATTTCGGTATCAGGTCGGGCCGGTAATGCTCGCCTCGATACGTCGGCTGCTCGCCGTATCACGGGTTCGTATATTGATGATGTCCGTGACATTCTAGAAATCAATACCCAGGTTAAGGTTCGAGTTGTTCCAATGTCTGAGGAGGTTCTGTCAAAGATTCCGGAACGCTTTCGGAAGACGGTGAGGAGAAATTCTCAATGGGAAGTGAAGTTTTTCAAGAGAGACATTGAACCAGCGCCGCAAGGAAGTCAGTTCAACGTTCCCGAGAGGTATTTTACAGACGTCAGTAGCTTCAGTGGTGTGCCACGAGAGGCTGTCGGCCGGATCATCTCGGCACTACTGCAGATCACATTCATGCTTAACAACACAAGTCTACAGAAGCTCCTGCCTCTCGTAAAATCACATTTCAAAGTCAAGGAGATCCCAGATATCGGCCGTTATTTAGCGACAGAAGGGGATCTGGAAAGATTCATCCTGAATTGTCCTCAATATTTCACAATTTCATCAAGTGTTGTGAAGCGCTGTTGTGGATTTAGCGAGGAATTTTTCAATTCAGCCCTTATCAAGAAGACCCTGGAGATACAACCTCCTAGCACTGCAGGGAAGAGAAGACAGACTGCTGCTGCATCTGCTGCTAGTGACCCTGTTGATTTCAAAGGTAACTGATCATTTTTTTTTATTTTTTTTTAACAATAGGAATACATTTCTTTAGATAAGGCCCCGTGCTCTATTTCTCTCTATATATATTTATTTTTTTAGACGTAATATCATGATAATTTATCTCTCAAGATTGAGTATACGTTTATGTTTTCCCTCATATAGTTGTTTGGGCGGCATTTTTTTCATGGATATATTGGATAATATTTTTTGCCTGCTTTAAAAAAAGGATTTCCAATCAAACCACTTCAAATTATGACTAAGATATTTCTAAAATTATAATTAAAAGATTGCTCATATACATGTATCAACTTGTATCAATTTGCGTTTAAACAAGCAGACTTCTTTATACTGTTGCCCTTAAAGGTAATACAAAGTTTTAGTATGGGGTCGTGAATTTGGTTTAAATGAACATATTGGAAGTATATGCAATCCAACAATATTCAGTGATTGTTGTCGCGTTTAAAATCGAGTCTAAAATTATGAAATTGTAAATAATAAACTCTTCATGTTGTATACTCCCTCTCAAGGTCAATATATTAATTAAGCCATAAAACAATATTTTTTACTAAAATCGACGGATTTGCTATACCCGTTTGGAAATTATATCTCAGAACTACATATTCTGAGATGTTCATGGTCGCAGCACCATTTTACGGCCGTAGGCGCTATTTGAAATTCATCAAAATTTACCGGGAGCACCGGTAAATTTTTATATTCAATTTTCCCCGAAAGCAGAAGTGTTTTACGGGCTAAATTTCCTAGTGCTTATAATACATCCACAGGGGCATCCAAATATATATAAATTGTAAAGAATCACTATCCACCCAATTTTCGAAATTTCCCAAAACTTTGTATTACCTTTAAAGTTATGTTTTGTCCCCTTACCACCGTACTATTTTTAATTCATACGACGCGATATCAAGCTGATTTACTCTCACAAGCTGTATACGTTTATATTTTCCTTTAAATAGTTTTTAAGTCGGCATTTTTTCAGAGATAAAACTGGTTTATAATGATGTTTGGCCTGTTTAAAAAAATGATTTCCAATCATCCAATGAAAATTTAGACTAATACTTTTCTTAAGTTATTATTAAGGATTACTCATTTACATGTATTAAAAAAAAACACAATTCGTGATCAAAAAAACCTTCTTTACTTTAAAGTTATATATTTTTTCTTTACCACTCGTTGTGAAGTGTTGTGACAATATGGTTTATTGTTGATAAAAAAAGTTGAGATACCTTCTCCGAACTTTATAGATCAATAATCTATCGATATAACCCCCAAATCTAAACTATTAGCAGCTGAAAAATGTTTTGTAGTAGCCGCATCAAAGACCATGAACAACATCCCCCTTTCCATTAGGGAAATTACCTGTCTTGCCACCTTCAAAAGGTCCCCCAAAACCTTCCTTTTTCCCCATTGATCTATGTAATCTACTTTCTGTGAGACCGTAAATTTGTGTCCTTTTTTCATATATCTCTAATTTTGTAAGCGCTATGGTACCTTTTAGCGCTCCGAAATATTCTATATTATTATTATTATTAGTATATATGACTCTTGATCAATCAGAACATCGATCAGAAATCTTAGGTTATTTATAGATGATGTATAGAACTCCCCTGGCAGGGGTTGTATACCCTTTAAGTTTACGATCTCACGAGGGAAAAACCACACTTTCAAACAAGGTTATACAATTAATATCAACAATTTGATAAAGATAATCAACACAAGTAATTAAGGTTCGTATGAATTGTTCGGGCACACACAAAATACAAACTATAATCAAATATCTAAGGGAGCGAACAACCAATAATTATCAGTGATCACTGGATAAAATAATCAACGGAATGGTCTCAAGGGAGCAGGCGCGTACGCAGAGGGGGGGGGGGGGGGTGGGGGTTGAACCCCCCATTCAGTTTTTTTTATGTGTGTAATTTGGAGCAAACCCCCCCCCTTTGTAATTTTTTTAATTTAAAAAAAAAATTATGCCAATGGTTGACCTAAAAAAAATGACCTTACCCCCCCCCCCCCAACGGAGCAAAATGTCAAATTTTCAAATTTCGAGACCAAAAAAAAGAAAGAAAGTGTCCTCTTACCCCCCAAACCCTTCCCCCCCCCCCCGCTTATTTAGCGGCTGACTGAGTCGTTGCGAAATTTTCGGACCGATTTAAAAATGTTAACCCCCCCCCCCCCTTGGAAAAATCCTGCGTACGCTACTGTAAGGGAGTATAAAACCATGAACCAAATACATTAGGTTCATGTATTAGGTTCATGATAAAACTCACCTCGAGTAGAGGTTATAACCGCCGTCATGGTAAAAAAAGGAATACACAAATATGATCAATCATACAAAAATAACAATAATCTGTATCTGAATCTGAACAATCCCCGTTCCCTTTAAATATTTCATATGTATTTTACGCGTATGTTGTATTTATTTTGTATATATTTTCTTATCATTATATTCAGTACTACTACTACTACTACTTCTACTACACTCTAAAAACTGAAATGCTAAATCACCATTTAAAAGGGCCGAGGAGTGACAACTTTGAACATGCTGGATCCAACACTATAAAGGTTGAATCTAGCAGGTTAAAAGAAACAATCTGACATTTTGAAAGAGTGGTCACTCCTCGGCCCTTTTAAATTGACATTTAACATTTCAGTTTTTAGAGTGTACTACTACTGCTCTTGTCATTAGTGTACATACTAAACTTCTACTCTCATTCCCTGTAGATGTGCTCAGTCAAACCGAAATCATCGATTCTGTGGAGGACTGTAATCGAGTTCTTGATCCCATCCTTGACCAGTCTACAAGACAGACTGTGGTCATTGGACTCGACTGCGAAGGTGTAAGGCTTGGTAAGTGAATTAATGCAGGTCATGCATCAGTGATAGTTTGTATTAAATAGCAGTTTGACATGGAAGCAAGTTACACACGATGCGTCATTTTATTGACTGACTTAAGCCCCTTTCACACCGGACCATACGTATAGTTGCGTAGTGTTGCGTGCAGGTCGTGAATCAAAAGTCAATGCTAAAAATGATCGCAATAGGGAAAAACCGACCTTAATCTAAGAGCAAACAACTCTACACCTACCAAAAGAAAGCAGACTGATAAAAGTGTGCACGAAATCGGACAAAAAAATAAGACAGTACTGTTATGAATTTTTGAAAATTGTAATCGACATTACGTATCAGGCGTATGGGCAATACAAATTTACTGAATTAGTAACGTGACTGTAATGTAGTGCCGGACAAATTTCCTATTTGTTCAAACAGACAAAATGACTATAGTGTCATTTTTTCGTCAAAATGTATGCTTCGGGGGCCTTTTCTTTTCAGAGGACCTATAATAATATACTACCCATAATATATTTTGAGTAGTGCCCCAAGGAAGAAGGCACTTGGGAGAAAATATTTTGTACACGACAAACAGGATATGTGTCAATTGTCATAGACCTAGGTCCATGCTGTGAATACAATATAATCCACTAACTTGTTATTATTAATGTTAATTTGAAACTCGTATAGCTATAGTTATATCATGTTTCAATACTTATAACTCTCTTAGTATTGGTCAGATTTGATTTAAGCTTTCTCCATTCTCTTTCTCTTATCAAATTCAAAATTTAAAACTCACTAATTTCACATCTCTTAAAAAGTACAACGTATGCAGAAATAAATAATTTAAGAACAAATTTTACAGGAAATTTTCAAATGATACAAATAAGAAAAGGTGCGTACACTTTGATGTTTTTTCTGCTTTCACACATTAACTTAATATTATAAGGGCTTGATTGCCTTTTAACGATCACCAAATCTGAGTAATATATGTGGATAAACCATTATACCAAGACACTTACCAACGTCAAGCATAATACATTAATGAACCTTTGTCATTTCTCGTTATTTTGTGTACAGGGACAGCGAAAGGATGTCTGACTCTTGTTCAGATCTCAACGTGGGACGGGAAAGCATTCCTCTTCGATGCCTTTAAGAACCCTCAGCTTCTCAAAGGAAACTCAAGTCTCAAGAAGATACTAGAACATAACAGCATCCTGAAGGTAGACTTGTGTGAATATAACTTGATTGTAATGGAATTATTTATAAAGCTGAATTTAGAGAAAATTATATATAACTTCCCTCTTTCCTTTAATATATTGCAAGGAGATGTTTTATCCTCGTACAATACAAAGTCTGTAAAAGTAGACAATAATCATATTCTGTATGGTTGAAACGGAAATCAAGGCATGGGTATGTAATATCTAACATCTAGCAAAAATCTACTCGCTTTATAGAATAATGTAAATAGTGCTAATGCTGTTTATTTGCTATTTACTTTTGTGAATATTAGCCTAAAATTTACCCAACACTTATCATCATAATTCATGTTCCTTGGCAATAAACACAATTTGTATTATTTATTGCAGGTGATCCATGATTGTAAAAGTGACACTTATGGCCTGCATCATGGGTTCGGTGTAAAACTCAAGAACGTGTTTGATACGTCGGTAAGCTAACATCACTATTATATCCAATTAAAACTAACTACATTCATCCATGATTTTATAATGAATTTCATACATTCAGTCATTCCGATGACTCTTATTTGATTATACATGTAGATATGATATAAATTTATGTAACGGGCCAAATCTACTTTGCAAGTTATTGCTATCATATTTTGAAACCTTAAAAATTTAATGTGAAGTGGCAGTATAGCAATTCGAGAAGTGGTTAAAACATATATATTTGTTATATTTTCGTCAAGATTGCGATGCGCACAATAATGGAGCAAGTGAACAGGTACCGATCCTACCGAGTCGGTTTTAAAGCTCTTTGTGAGCTCCTCGGAGAGGGCGCTACTCATAAAGATGATGACTTCGTGAAGAAGATGCTTGAGACGCCAGATTTCTGGAAGATTCGACCATTAACAGAAGAGATGATCTACTATGCTGCATCTGATGCATTGTGTTTGATTCCCAGCATATACCTGAAATTCAACGGGTATGTTTAAACAATAATTACTCGCTCACTTGGCAAACAAATTGGCATATATTTCCCATCTCATTTGTGACGACTACATGATTTGGGGTTAATAGACATCGCATTTTTCATCTTTCATGAAATATATATTGGCTAATATGTTTCAGGTTGACGTGTGTTGATTTTCATTTCTAATCTCGAAATTGACCATCCGTTTATCACTGTCTTATATTGATTATTCACCATTACTATTACATAGCTGCTTTATCGGTGCCTTTTCATTATAACATAGAGATACACAAACGAACATTTTTCATTTGAAAAACATGCACACAACAGGAGTAGGGCAGTAAATTACATGTTTTCATCAGTTGAAACAACCAATATTGTGACTTCAAGTTCAGTGCAACAACTATCGCTAAAGGGGAATTTGTTCTTAGTGGGTAGATATCTGACGTGGTAACCATAGTTGATATTTTTCTTAGGAGCATTTTCGTAAGGTCACTATGCGAGAGCTATTAGTTTTCAGACACACATATATATTTGTTTAATTTATCAATTAAAAAAATCCAGATAATCGATATTTCAATTTCAGAGGTGGCCACTAAGAAATACGTAACTGTATTTGCATTTTACTGTTTTTGCAGAATGCTGACACCACTTTGGCGAGACCTGTTCACGTGGTCTTGCAAAGACACCATGGAAAGCATCCAGAAACGCAAACAACAAGGAGGTTACCAAGGCAACTGACAGGTGACATCTGAAACCAGACCAGCTCTTTCAAACCCCAACCACCGTGGAGCTCACTTTCTTCAGTGAAAACCGGAGAATTAACATCGAAGACGACAACAGCGACGACAGCGACGATTTTTCTTCTTCTAAATCTCATCAAATCGAAATTATATAGCATAAAGTTATCAAATGCACTTTATGCCCATACAGATACAGGAAAGAACTCTCAAATAGAAATCATCACACGAGTGGACTGTGATTTCAAATTAGAAACAGGATGGCTGCAACCTAAAGACAATTTATTGGTACTTCCGCTGTCCCAACGGAATATAAATCATCAGGATAAGAATTACGTGATGCTTTTTAGATTAAAATCACTACAATTGTATTCAATGTTATAAGGCAAAAGGAATTCAAATAACTTGAATATACCCGAGGTCAGAACAACCAAAGGAAATCATGTCAGTTTCATGATTATGTAGACAGATCTTTTTGGAATGATCTCCCACTTTCAGTGCGGACAAAGCCATCCACTTCTTTCTTCAAGAAAGCATCTATAGAGTTTCTTTTAAATGAGTAAAATATTATAAACTGCTACGTATTTGATATTTGACTTTTTCAATACATTTTTACAATTGTATAGTTTCGTTTGTTATTAACTTCAATACATGTAACATTTCAAATTTGTACCCAAACAATGTTTTTTTTTTTATATGTCCGCAGTTACCAGACTCTATTGGCATTCATGCTATTTTCTGATTCCTTTTATCCTTAATGTTATGGTGTAAAACTATTTATAAGGACTATAATGTTATATTAAGATATTATAAATATGCAACAACATTTTTCTTGAACGAAAAAGCAGAGCAAAACAAAACATACATAACATATGTTTATACATGTTCTTACTTATTCTTTGTTGCTGTTATGAGTTTATGTTCATGATTTTTTTTTTGGTGTGTGTGTGTGTGTGTGTGTTGAACTATTGTTCCTCATTGGGCCTCATGGAAGACCACCATTATTGGTGATAGTGAGCCACCCTGTCTAAATACCAGAAATTAATTAATTAATAAATACCTATTGTTATGTGTTGCTTACTATTATATAATACATTTCAAGTTCAGGTTGATTTTTAAATTATCAACAATTTATATGAAGATATGCTTCTGTGGCAGTCGCAGTGATAAATTTTAGCAGAATAATTTTCCTGAACATGTGAACACGTGATGTTATACTTTTTAGTTTTGTAGATACTCATTCGCCGAACAATAAATGACTATATTGCTGGGACTGTATTAATTAATGCTCATCTGACCTTAATTTAGCTTGTATTTACGTACTTTTTGTGGTTTAAATTCATTATGCATCTTTGAAGCGGAGAAACAGTGAGAACAGAAGATAGCTTTGATGGTAAATACATGTATTGAGTCATGATTAATTTATGTTTATACAGCCAAAAATAATGTTTAAACTGTCATTTATTCTCTATTTAATATTTATTCTTTACGCATGTTAATGTAAGAAAATCAAATTTCCATTTGTTATTTATAGGCATTACAAACAATAAATTGAATGATAGTCGAAACTATGGAGTGAGCAAAATAGATTCATATCGTAGCAGTGTGTAAGAAATGAGTTAGATATAAAGGTAGCATTAGGAATAGTTGGGATTAATAATCATGTTTATTTAGAGTTACCTGCAGAGATAAAGCAATATGTTTAAAAAGACAAGTATTTGTATAAAATGTATCATTTTTATTTAAAAAGTATGTTTAGGCCTATATTGAACTTACATATTATAATGTCTGTTTGGTATGAATCGAATTCCCATTTCCTACATTTTGAAATGCTGAGACAATTATCAAGTAACTCCAAAAAATGATGTTGAGATAATTGTCCTAATCCAAGAAAAACAGATAAAATTATAAATCTTGTCCATGCGTCAAATAATATAGATTAAATTTGTCTCATTTTTTAAATTACAGCATGGAGACACTTGCTTCAGCCAATGGCTGTTCTTCTACAAGTCCGTGCATAAATAAAAACACATACACAATATATAAAAGAACGAATATACGTGCAAATAGTGGTATACTTATAAATAAAATAAACAAAGAGATTATGAAAAGAAGATAATACAAAGTAGGCCTATTAATTCAATATGTAGAAGGAGAAACATGATTGGTTGGCTTTAAGGAAGAAATGAGAGAGTGAAAGGAGGAATAATCAAGAGGAGTTGATGAGGAAAGGAGGAGATGAAGATGAAGGAGCCGAGTTAATATAATAGATGGTATACCATAATACTATTATAATATTTCAATAAGCAGTGGTGATTAACTTCCTCAATAAGTGAAAACCACGAATCATAACCTTGTAACTATATAGTTGTATATAGTAACCAGTATCATTTTAATATTATACACAAATCTTATTTATAAGATTTGGAAACCCATCATGCATTTTTCAATTAACTTTATTTTAGGCTTTAGATAACGAGAGTCAGGTTCGACTAGCACATGCGCTACTTTTTACTCTTTTTTACTATCAATCACAAACTCATTGTAAATAGTCATTTATTGTTTTACTCTTGAAGCAAAGTTCACTTTATATTTGTCATAATGTAAATGTATATCGCTGTAGAACATGTATTTTTTATAATTCATGTCATGCATTTATGTTATATTGACATTGTCATTGTACATTTATCTTTTGTTTTAATGTTTTCAATGGTGGTGAATAAATAAATAAATTCAATTATGTACAGTAAGCAACGTGTTTGTTGACATTCTAAAATATCAAAATGTTACATAGTACTTATAGACAAGCAAAACACATAATATACATGGCAATAATGTGTACATTATATGGACATAAACTTGCTTCTCAAATTAAATATTAAGGATTTTTGTTAAAACAAGTTTTATATCAACCCATTCTCGGAACACTGTGCAAAGGCAATTGGAATTCAATCGTAATTTATAAGATTGTAAATGTTCACCTCTAGGACCGGAAGTTTTAACATTTATTTTAGATTTTCATTCTCCCTCTATATAGGAAACTTCCCCAATCGGTGCCTGTTGGTCCCCCATGATCCTCTTTTTCTTATGTTAGTTGAGAGCTGAGTTAATGAGATAGCCATCTGTCAGTGACCTCGCTGTGTGGTCTAATCCCCTCTGACCCAGTGGTATTGACGGTCTTTAAAGGTGAAATCCACTTTGATATAAGGTTTGTTTTAATAGGGGCAGAAACTGGAGAGTAATTGATCAGTGAAAAGTTTGAGCAAAAACCGATTAAAATTAAGAAATTTATGAATTTATAAAAGTGCGGTCAATCAAACACATTTTGGCATCTTTGTGACTTATCTTGCAAGCTTGGTCCCCTTTCATTTACCTTGTACTAAAAACTTCAAAATGGTATTCTTCCTTAGGAAAATGTTGTTATCATACATTCACCCTAAATATAATTATTGTAAATATGTTCTAATACTTCCCTCTTTTAAAAAGATTTTTTCCGTCATCAATAACTAAGAAAATGACAATTTAAGAAATTTTCTGTAAAGATCAAATTGTAGAGGAGCTCGCTAGATACGTCAGAGAATTGTGTTCAATTGATCACATCTTCAAGAATTCATAACTTTATTATTTTAAACGATGGTTGCTCAAACTGTCACTGATATTTTTCGCTCATTTTACTGCTTTTAATAAAACCAAGTTAATACCTGAGTAGATTTCCTTTTTATCAGCTCCATGATTGTAAAGAAAGACTGTATAATATTACTCCTCAATATTGGCCCCGTTTTATAATTTTGTTTTCTTGGTTCTGTTAAGTGGATTGGTTTTTCATTTATCCGTCTGGGTTTTTCCATTGGGTTTTCCCCAACTGTTTTTTGTTTGAAACTGCCATGCATCAAATCCAATGATATACAGATGATGAATATAATCTATGAAGCACCAAGATGCACGTGCTTATCAAATATTGCAGATAAAATAGCTAGGTATTTTTTTAGCTAACTCATGATGAACTATGCACTCGGGACATGCAGATGCTCACGTGTAACATTAATAATAATAACTTTGATAGCATAATACAATGATAATCATTATGCTGCATTGGCTGATAGTAAATCGAGTGGGAACGTGATCCATGTTGAGGGTTTTAGCCTACCCATTGCAGGCGCTACCGTTTATAGTTACATTTGTATATCGCTTAGTACTACATTTTGAAGAGCTTTACATTGTAATTAATTTTACCCCGGTCACGCTCACGCTTCGCTCCCTGGAAAATATTTCGATCTAGAGTTATTTTGCAAGGGCACATGCATGATCATATGCCAATCCAACCACTTTAACGTTCACATGCTATCGGTTTTCCATTAAACACCTGGGTGGAGAGTGGTAAATGTACATTAATGTCTTACCCAAGGACATTCGTGCCGAGTTAGGACTCGAACCGCCAACTACACAACTCCTAGGTCCAGTGATATAATATATGCCTCAATTTCCCTGACTAAAATGTGTTTCCGCCCATTGTCCCTCTCCCTATTCCGACAAATGTAAAGGCAATAGCAGAAAATAATTGCCAATAAATCACGAGATGATTGTAACATCTGTATCTTCTCCCGGTTCAGAGGTTGATTGCAACATCTCTCCATTTCACTCTATCTTCTGCCATTCTGGTCCACTTTTCCAGTTTTAGTCCACTCCAGTTCTTGACATTCACTTCCCAGTTGATTCTGGGTCTCCCTCTAGGTGTACTTCCTTCCACTCTTCCCCCCAATACATCCTTTAAGAGGCTTTGGTGCCTTTTAACATGACCAAAGTATTTGATTTTTCTCTCCTTAACTAATCCTACTAGTGCAACTTGTTTACGCCCTGCCATGTGCAATATTGTTGGTTTTCATTCGTTTCCAGGATATTTTCATCATTCTTTTGTAGATCCACATTTCAAAAGATGTTATTCTATTTTCCATGGCCTTGTTTATTGTCCATGTTTCTGCTCCATAAAATAGGACAGACCATACATAACAGTTTACTAGTCTCAACCTAATCAGAATTATTAATTGTTCTAGCATTTAAATTCGTTGTAGTGTTTCATTTGTGCAAACCATAGCAGAAACTTGTGTTAATCATGATTTTCTTTTCCTTGGCACGGGATCTGTATAGATCATTATTCTGTACGCTGTTCAAACAATAAAGAGGAAGTCCACCCTGATATTTAGCTAATATTAATAAAAACAAGATTAACAAAATAATTATTAAAAATTTGAGCAATCACCGAATTAAAAGTAGGAAAGTTATGAATTGTTGAGATCGTCAATAGTGAAACTCAAATTGGCAACACTGTGACCTTTCTTGCGAGGTCCTCTCCAATTTGTTCTGTACAGAAAACTTCATTAACGTTAATTTTCTTAGTCATTGATGACGGAATATATTCGTTTCATGCAGAAACATATTTGCAATAATACGTAGAGAGTGCATGTATGATTGAAAATAGTCATAAAGGAAAATAGTCATGAAGGAAAATAGAAATTTCTGATGTTTTTAAGTACAGAGCAAATGGGATGGTACCTTGTAAGCTACGTTACAGACACAGAGGTGAACATTATTATGTGTGATAGACTGCAACTTCAAATTGTCATTGCTTTCTTATGTTTAGACGGATTTTGCTTAAACACTCACTAACCTTTTTTTTCCTCTCGTCTTTCTGGCGGACTTCCAAAAAAACGGATTAAAAACTTGTGAAGACATGAATACTCTATCGCCTACGTACATTTCGACATCACATTAATTATGACACATCATAATATCCAGTCTATGACAGTGTGATTTTCTATACAAAAGTAATTGACGGAAATGATATGGACTAATGAACTTGAATCGACAATAGTTACGAAATATGTCGGTGTTGGGTGGTACTAGAATGTAATGTTTCGTCATATTCAGTTGGTGAATGATGGTTGGTGTATCAGAATGTGTTATGAAATAAGCCACAATGTCAGAGTAGAATCAAAGTTACCCGCATTCTGAAAGTCAACGGCATTCGGAGTACCGCGCATCTTCGGAAAGTCCTGATAAGAGTTTTCTCCATACCCTCGGCTGATCATCACGATGTACTCCATGTTGAGCAGGAGGGACGTCGCTCAGTCTCTAGATCTAGGTCCAGAGCAATTTTTCCAGGATACAGGAAGCCCTAGCGGTGTGCCTCAGGAGATCGCAGGGCGCATCATTTCAGCAGTCCTGGAGGTCATCTCTACCTGTAGATCCTTATCATCGCTCCTTCCTCGCGTTCTCTCACATAATAAGGTCGAGAGCATACCAAACATCGATCTCTATTTAGCAACTAGTAACGATCTGGAAAGATTCATCCGAAGTCTGCCTCAGTACTTCACAATCTCTAGTGGCAGCCATGTGAGAAGAGGTAATAGCTTTACGGAGGATGTTTTCAATGCAGCCATGAGAAAGAGAGCGTTAGAGATACACCCTTCAAGCAATGTGAGCAAAGGTTTGGCTGCTGCCGCTTTGGGCGTACCAAATGATTTATTTCGTAAGTAGGCCTATAATACATTCGTACTTATTATTATCATTTTTTTAATAAATATAAAG